CCCCTCTGCACCTGGATTGAATAGGAGCTATGTATTAAAAAAATAACCCACAAGAGAAGCTGAAGGCATAGTTTCATCAGCATACAACTGCAATTTCATCATATAACAAATTTAGGTTTTGGGTGGCAACATGGCACAAAATTATTTTAATAAATTCAACCCAGCAGTACAAAGTTATTTGAAAAACAAAACCCTCACAAAGCAAGGAGTGGAGAGTTGTTTTACTCTTGATGATTTTACACTACAGTTGGCATGATCTGTCTTCCTGCCAGCAGTATAAAGCCAAGATAAAGTTTGGTCTAAACCCTTTAACTCATAACTGGCTAAACTTGACAGGAATGTGATTACCTGCTCTTATTTGATCTTGATCAATTTATTACCATTAGATGATCTACTAGTGCACAGACCAGACATTAACAAGCATGTAATCAGGCTATAGGCAGTCTGAAAAGGGTTGATCATGAGAGATCAGAAAGTGAAATTGATGGCACAGTCTGTGGTTCAGAGTAAGGTTAGAATTACTCAGGGCTATTTTCCTCACTGACAAAATAGCTATCCAGCAGTGTGCCTTCCTTCTTTCCACACCATCTGTGTGTCACAGTCTACCAATGCTGCAATGGTGCCAATGCAACTGTTTGTGGGAGCAGAGTGTCAACTTAATCAATGGAATAATTATGTTTAGAAATAATTATTTTAGACAGAACTTTTAAAATCTGGATCGAGTGATCTTACTTACAGCACAGCTCCAGAAATGGTTGCTTGAACAGCTGAGAGAGCACTAAAAGTGACAATTATTAGTTGCCAATTTCTGCTCCTGTCTAAATTTATGGTTCCACTTTTATTCAACCTAGATTTGTGCACTGTTGACTAGCCAGCAGCAAGATTTGAGCCAGCTCACATGGAGATATGCAATTGCATTTCAGACACTCAATGATAAATCAACAAGAGCACCTGGTCTAACCCTTCTAACACTGTATGTCATGAGGGACACCATCTTGTCTCTTGGCTGCCACATGTACCATGGGATGCCAGCCCTGCTACCCTGTGGAGCTGCTGGAGAACACTTCTGTGGGTGGGGAGGAGGAAGGAACTGTGGGGGCCTCTGCTGTTAGTAGCACTACTACAATCCATCTCTCAACTGCTGCCATAAGTGTGCAGCTAAAGCAGGGCTCATGTATGGTTTGCAACCCAGCTACAGCTCCCAGTATAGGATGGATGAGGAATTTCAAATTCCCAGGCCTTGGTGAGACTGCAGAGAGGTCTGCTATAACACATTTAACCATTCCAAGTGGGAGTTAGCCAGCTGAGGTGAATTCACAGACTGTGGCTATTCTCAAGAGTGGGAACAGCATCTGGCCTTTATCAGTGCACTCCCCTTTGGGGAATTACTTTACATCAAATGTTTTCATTTTCCTGATAGAAAAACCCTCTTAGGCTTCATGCAAAATTCCACTTGTGATCTGATTCAACCCATGTCCTTTGAATCCAGTTATTCTTTTTCTGTCATTTTAGGCACGGCTTTCATGCTAGAAAGCACCCCATTTATGTCTAGTGCTATGCATAATTAACACAGGCAGAATTGAGTTCTGATGTAAACTGTATTTCAAATCATAAGCATTACAGAGTTGGTGGGCCTCCACAACTTTTAATACATTTTGTTTTCCCCACTTGGACATTCTGGTGTTCTTTACTCAATGACTCACAGTAGTTCTATCAGTGTTACACAATGGAAACAAGCACTGACTTTCAAAACCAGTAGCATGTGATGCTAGGAGTAAATCAAGCTTATTTAGGAATCTTAAGGAAACCAACAACCTCAAAATATGCCAAGACTTGGAAATCGAAATAAACTGCAAATAAGATTCAGGATATGATTAAAAGTTCCTCTGAAGGAAAAACTCATGCAAAATTCTTAGAAAAGAGGCATATTTAACTTTGGGGTTTTTTTTATTATTTTAAGAGAACAAGCTTCCTATCCAAACAAAAAAAAGCACCATTCATAAAAGATGTTTGACTTGCTAAACTTCAGCTTTGATATTCCCCAAAGCAGGCCAAAATACTTTCAAGTAATATTTTTTTGAGTTAATGGAAGTTGCAAGCACTTTTGAAACCACTAAGACAACCAGCAAACAAGATTTTCAATAAATGTATTTTTCCAGCTGAGAAAAAGATCATATGTGTGACAGCATAAACATTTCAAGAAACAATACATGGGTAAAACCCATCTGCCAGACAGAGGAAGTCAAACAGTTTGCCCTAGGGGGTTAAGAATATCTTATTATTCAAGTACTGATAAAAAAAATAGAAAAAAACCATGGAGATGGACTAAGACCTTCCTGCCTGGAAACCATTAGGCAAATGCTTCTTATAAAATAAAAACATTGTTTGATGGTCTAGCTTTGAGACAAAAGTATTCTTTAATGCAATGGCTAAGTACTGATGACAGTGGTTCTGACTAAGATATTGCCTTAGGAAACGTAATGCTAATGCTTTTCTAAAAATCTGAGCATCTAAGTGAGCAAGTAGTAAACCCAACCAAATAATTTTAGTTTACATCTATATTCTTTAAGGCATATCTATATTCTTCAATACTGTATTGTTAAGAGTGTACAGAAGATTAACTGTTCTCCTTAAGGGTAACTGTAAAATCCTTCTTATCAAATCTAGTCACACAAGTCATAATAAGCCAGACTTGCAAGCTATGTCTGCATCTAGGATGATTCTTTCTTCCTTCCAACAGTAAAGTGCATTATTCCATATCCCTGTTCTGATACTGAAGTCTAGCCTGATGCACAATGGCAATTTTATTTCTTTCTATATTGCAAAAGTTCAGAATTATATTTCTTGTCTTTGAAAACAATGTTACTATCTACTTCTGAATTACTATCCATGTAATGAAGATCATCGTAGCTTTTGGTTAGAAATAAAAAGTTTATTATATCTGTCATCATAAAATGGAATTTTACATCACTGAAACATATTACCCAAAGAGGAAACTTACCACAGTAAGATTAAGCTTATTTCTTTCTACAAGTAACCTGAAGATGAATTATGAAGACTTTTTCAGAATTTCCATTAACTGAGAAAAAGCAGTACAGAAAAAAGGGAATCAATCGATTCTTGCTGAGGACAGGATGTGATGACCAACACGGCTTTCCTATTCCTGAATTCTTTGATTATTTAAAAAAAGGGGAAGGGGTAAAGAGTAATTTTCATTTTAATTTTCATTCACTGCTTCTTGGAATCTGGTTCAAATTGAAATGCATAAAAATGGTTCAATATTTAATGAGCCTTTTAGACCATAAAAGTATGATGTAATGGATTCAGTTGTCTTCACTGACTCTCTGTGTAAGGGCAAATGTCAGAACAGATGTGCTCCTGACCCCTTAAAATGAAAAATTATGTGATAAATTACTACTTAGTGAAAACTGAATCAAACCAGATACCAAATGATCCAAAGAGGGAAAAAAAGGACAAAGTATATTACCTGAAAATGCAGCAAATAACCACATTTATAATCAAGGAATCAACTTCAACAACAGCAGTTTTTGGAGAAATCACAATTTTCCTCTAAAAATAATTTCAACAGACCAGCTATTAGAGTATTATTTACATCAATGACAGACAAGGAAGTTCTTCCAACACAGAAGGTTAGACTTGGGGATATAAAACTGGCTAAACATACTTGTGGCAAAAATAGAGTTGACTACAGAAGGGACTGAAAGAAAGAAAAAAGATCAAGCAATCTGTAGAGGGTACTGAATGACAGATTTCAAAGTTACAACAGAGTAGGGTATCTATTTGATAATGCAAAACACTGATAATTTAACTGTTTGCTCAAGTTAACAATGAAGTTATAGTAAAGAACATTTTGCTTCTCTCACAAGTTTGGAATTGTCTGATTTCACCATGAAGTTTATATATAATTTCCCAAGTGATCACTTATTAACTAGGGCAGCCTTTTTTCACATCTTGCTTGCATCACAAAGTCATTTTTATCTTTATCTTATTATTAATTTGGCAAATTCTAAAACCTAATACTGCTTCCATGAACTCAACAAGAATTTTGCACTGAATTGGTGGGTGGGGGATCGTTCTCCATGGCTCACTGCTATTACCATTAGTGACTGGGCTAGATTTTATTTTGCACTAGAATTTTCTTTATAGCAAAAGTATATTAAGTTATACTGAAATACACAAAGGAAGGAACAAATTATAATAACAAACAAAAGCAACAAGAGAAATAAATATAAGTTGTAAAAGATATTAAACATGTAAAACAACACATATGCAATGGAAGCAAACAATACTGTGATCAATTATAAAATTAGAAGTTTTCTCACCAAATTCCACTTTAATGTAAATTAATAGTTTGCCCAATGTGCAAAAGTATTCAAAGTCCCCTTGTCAGCTCACCTGCATTCAAACTCACTTTAAAACATCCTGTAATTGCACTTTATGGCTAATGTAAATTAACAGTTTGCCCAATGTGCAAAAAGTATTCAAAGCCCCCTTGTCAGCTCACCTGCATTCAAACTTACTTTAAAACATCCTGTAATTGCACTTTATGGTCACACATTTCAAAGTAAATCTCTTACCAACGTGATGCTTCTATGAAATACAGAGGAGAATTTTAAAGGTTTGTGATGTTTATGATTTCTAGATGAGGCAAAATGCTCTACAACCAGAGCAGCTGTTGGAGTCAAAGGCAGCTCTCAGCAAAATGGGCTGTAACAACCACCTATTAGCAGCGGTGTCAAGACCTGAGTGCTCCCAGCACAGCTCCCCAAACAGTGCTCTGCCCCATGCCAGCCTACAAGAGGAAAATGAAAAACACGATATTTTCCTGTTGGCTGACCCTTTCCTCCCACAGCTTCCTATCTAAATACAATTTTGACAGCAAAGGTTGTTTTTTTTTTAAAAAAAAAGAGGTGGTGCCGGAGAAGGAAGGAAGGAAGGAAGGAAGGAAGAGTGGTCTGTGCCAGCACATTTCTGCTTACCTTCCCAGACCTGGGAGGCTGCTGATGTCCCGACTCCCGTGACACCTCACTGAAGATCTTATCTTTACCGAGGACTTCGGAAATCCCACAGATGCTCGGACTCCTAGGGCGTTAAAGAAAAAATCCCTTCCGTTACCAACACAGACAATGCACAGCTAGGCAACCCCCAGACCGCGCTCGGGGAACAGTCCCACTTACACCCTGCAGCCCGCCGGGCCAGACCCCGCAGCGAGGAGCAGCAACAACCGGCAGAAAACGCACAGAAACATCATATGCCTCGGGCTCCTTTTCGGAGACTTCAACGCACCTGGTCGCCTCTCACGATGTGGCTTCAAGCTCCGTCCTCTCCTTGTCATGTCCCGCTTTCCCCCTCCCTTTTAGAGCCCTCGGAAGGACTCGGCAGCTCTGCAGGCATTTTCTGGCAGCTGCAGACCCCGAGAGACAACCCCAGCCGACACGAAGCCCGGCGGACTCCAGGGCTCCCCTCCGCCTCTCCCGCCCT